GGTGCAACCCAGCCTTAGTTTTCAGTTTACTGTTTTGCCTATTTGGTTCCTTTTACTAAAAACATCTGAGTTAAAATTGTGTTTTGACCTTTTGTAAACTTAAGCCAAAATTATATTTCCTCTTTTTCTTTCTTTCAAAATTTTTCTTAAGTTTCTTTCTTTCTTATTTTGTTTCTAATAAAACTATAAAATGTGTGATAATTGTACACTGGGAAAAGAATGATGTCGCAGTGAGATACTAATCCCATGCTAATGAGCTTTCTACGTGCCTAAGCTGGGTTTCAGTCTGTCTAGGTAAAACGGGTAATTTTAGGTTGCTATGCTTGGATTATGTCTTTATACTTAGTGTACAAACGGTCTCAGAGGTGTGTCAACATATTTGTACAAATGTTTTTAATGTTAGTAGTCTTTGGAGACTGACTCCCGTAGGTATTCACAAACGATGCTTGCTTGTGTGAAGAAGCAAATCGAACGCACAGCATTGAATAGAGCGCACTGTGAGACCTCATAATAATGTTTGTGAATACGGGCGTGAAACTAACTCGTTACAATTAGAACAAAACGCCCGCTCTCCAGCGCGTGTTTTGCTCTACACAATCAACAAAACCATCTCAACAAAATTGCCTACAATAAATGTTGAATGTTGACATGGTTTTGTTGATTCTGTAGAGCACAAGCACAACAAGTAATAAAATCCATTAATTTCACTACGTAATGTCAACCCCTTAAAATAATTAACTATTAAAACGATTGAATATTCCAAAACAATCGCACCATTAAATACAGGGTGGAAACGATAAGTGATCTCACTCGATTATTTCTAAACTATACAAGATATCAATAAAGTAGTTACTGATCCTGAAAGTGCTTCATGAGCTCTATCAAACAGTATTAATAATAGGTTACAGAATAAACTGGATCTATCTGAAAATTCAATGTTTCCAGCTTCCATACATTTGGTAAAGTCACATTATTTTAAAAACTACACATGGTATCGTAAAACTGATTACTGATTCTAAAAGTGCTTCACAAGCTCTATCCAATGGTATCAATAGGTTACAGAATAAACTGGATCTATCTAAAAATTCAATATTTCCTTCTTCCATAAATTTAGTACTACCACAGTCATGACACTCATCTCTTGACAATATTATAGTAAGTAAAGCCTAAAACCAATGTTTTCCATTAATAATTTTAATTATGAATACAATTTACGAGTTTATTTTAAGAGTTAATTATGAAATAAAAAAAATGCACTTCTAATATTGTGTGGCTGGCATACATTTAGTATGGAAGCTGGAAACATTGAATTTTCAGATAGATCCATTTTATTCTGTAACCTATTATTGGTACCGTTTGAAAGAGCTCATGAAGCACTTTCAGGATCAGTAACCAGTTTTTCAATATCTTCAAGTATAGTTTAGAAATAATCGATTGAGATCACTTAACGTTTCCACCCTGTATAAATTACGGTTCTTTCCATAATAACTTCAATGATATGCCTATTTTTAGAATGTATTTGACCTCTACTATTTTTGTAATAACTTGAGTAATATTTCTACATTTTTGATTGATTCTATTTTGGTTAGTATTGATTATAACTACCCTTTGTTAACCTTAACCACAACGGCTTCCAATAATTTGAGGTCGGGGAATTAGTTAATTATTCTAAGTTAGAAGTTGGGTACTTAGTTGAAGTGGAGAGCGTAATTTGATTTTTTTACAAAAAATATTCTTTTAATATGTTTGTTCCAAGTTATTTTTACTAGAATATTTTTAGCGTTAAAAACTAACGAGTTATTGCCAATTTGCCATAAAATCAACTAGTCACAAGAAAAATTATGTGTAAGTTCGTCACACGTCATAATAATATACATCGTGACAACTTGACTTAAATGAGAATTTATGTCGAATGTTTTTTATTATCCACAACGAGGAAGCTCTTGGCTTGATTTCACCTGATGGTAAGTGATGATCAGGCCGAAGGTGAAAGCGAGCTTCACCCGGAATCCTCAACCCCGGAGGAACTGGCTATCTTACCTCTAACTAAATTACTTTTAATGTAAATTCGTCACACGTCATATTACATCGTGACAAACTTACTTACGTTCTCATTTATGACGAATTTACTTTCAATGCATAAAATTTTCAAATGTGTGACAAATAAAGTGTAACTTTGTGGCAAATTGACAATAACCGATGTATAGATGACCCACGCTGAACTGTCCCACCAAACTCAATGACAGAGGGGCGCTACCATCGTTCAACTATATGGTTTCCAACATGGCAAAAATCGGAACCAGCGATCCGGTATTGACGGTGGCGCCCCACTGTCAATGTCAGGGATAGGACAGTTCAGTATTTTGGAACTATGTATAACTAAGACAGCTTTCACATTAGGGCGTCAGAAGCGCGACTGTAGCGCGGCAGCGGCGTTTTTATAATTCGAAGGCAAGCATCCGCTGTCATATCACCATCATCGTCACCATTTCAGCCATATGACGTCCACTGCTGAACATAGGCCTCCCCCAATGATTTCCACAATGGCCGGTTGGTGGCGGCCTGCATCCAGCGCCTTCCTGCTACGTTTATGAGGTCGTCGGTCCACCTTTTGGGTGGACATCCTGCGTTGCGCTGTCATATACATAGTATGGAATTATCGAGCGCGTTTGTCGCGCTGCTAAAGTCGCCTGAATGTGAAACCCAACTCATCAGTGGGACGAAATTGAAATCCCATTTTAAAGTTCATATCGGGAGGTTATATGCGGAACCCGTTCGTGGTTCACTGGAGATAATTGACAGTTTAAATTGGTTTGCAGTCGACTGAGTTATTGAAAAATCTACCTTCTGCCCGTGACTTTGCTTGCGTTGATTTAGTTAGCTAAAGTCGTATCGAAGCTTAAGACCTTTTCTGATTTTAGCTATAATATTGTAAAATTTCTATAAAATTAATTGTGTAGGTATGCGTGACGAAGTTTCTTAGGATATTGTTTATGGATTATTTTAAAGTATGTAGTATTGGAACTTGTAAAAGCGCTATTTAAAAGCTCGTTTGCAGAAAAATAGACGAATAGACGAATTAGTAGGTACTAGGTACTCGTAGATAGTAGGTAGTCTAGGTAGTAGGTAGATTAGTAGGTGCTAGCTAGGTATCGATAGATCATATCGCAATACCATTATAGCTATAACAGCTATCAAATGCTGAAGTTATAAATCGCGTGCATTGAAGCTGTTATACTTGCCGTGTCAGACGTTATCAAACACCATTGGTGACTGATAAGGCTCGGAATAGACTTCTGGAATACATAGAGTATACAATACAATATATTATATAGTTTCCGGATGGATACGACCTGCAAGCTTTCAAGAAGAGAGCGTATCTTCACCTTAAAGGCCGGCAACGCACCTGTAACGCCCCTGGGACTGCGGGTGTCTATGTGCGACGGTAATCACTTACCATCAGGTGATCCGTCTACTCGTTTGCCTCCACATAAAAAAAAAACCTATAGACAACCTACCGTGTGATCGAAATTGTATAATACCTATGTTCCTGAGTGACCTGTGTACGTCGCAATTATTTTGCCCGCGGCTTCGCCTGCGTTAATTCCGGACTGATATTTATTTCGCACAAAAACCAGGATAGAAGCCATCTGTGACATTTGCTGTGTCTGTTTCCAATCTCTCTTTATATACGAGTAAAATATATTTAATTCAAAAGATACAGAGTTACTTTTCCTTCGTTTCAGCCAAATGACGTCCACTGCTAGACAAAGGCCTCACCCAAGGTTTTCCACAGGGAACGGTCCTGCACTGCCCGCATCCAGGCTCTTCCCGCGACCTTTACCAGATCGTCGGTCCACCTAGTAGGAGTCCACTATTAGTTTAACATAATTATGTAGGTATTATCTAAAGTGGATCTTGAGCAATATGAATGATGGAATTTTCTTGTAGGTAACCAATAAAATACTGGAAAAGAGCTGAGTTTGAATGGTGATGTGAATCATGAAATAACGTTTTGTATGCAAAATAAGGTTAGGTCTACAGCACATTAAACTATGCATTTTTATTGCAAAATAACGCCTATTGCAACTGGTTAAGAGTGTATAGCTTAACCTGCCGTAGAATCTACTCCACAATAATCTTGTAAACAGATTAAGGAAAGTCGAGGGACAAAGCAAAGTCAATTCACTTGTAGGTATATAAGGCAGCAAATCCAATAACAGGAATAGGTATCATCTGGATCCAGTGCACAGATTGCGCCACAATTTTCCATTCATAACGAACCCAGTGAGGGGATGATATCGATGGAATAGTATCGATAAATATGCACGTTATACATTTATTATAAGTCGTCCTATACCCAATTTTAAGAATTAATTAATATTTTTGATTAGTTGTATTTACTGGTATTATTAATTACTGATGAAGTGAACTTAAAATTTTAGCAGTGAAATTTATTGTTACTTCAGTATCTAAACAAAAATCATGTATGTAGAACGAAGTCTCATCCGATTATTTATAATGAACAAATAAAATTGGAAGCAGTTGGTACCCAATATCAATTAAAGTAATTTAAAATGATAAAAGTGACTCTCTTGTGGCGGAGTTTTGGGCTGACACTATGTAGGTTTGTTGTCGACACGATAAGAAGCAGAAGTGATAATGATACAGAAAACAAATCCCATCGCGCTCTATTCAGAGCTAGCTAGATTGTTAGCTCCGCGCTAAGAATATATTCCTATTGTCTGCTCTCTGACTCTTGAAGTTACAATAGGAATCCATGACCTACATTTCATCGATAAGTCGACGAATACACAGACATCCCTAAACGAATCAGTCCACTTATTGCATACAATAAGACTGTAGAGATAGAAATTTTGAAAGTTGTTGTAAAATTAGGGCATGTATATATTTTAAACTCTACATTCGTATACATGATTTGAAGCGTATAATAATGTGTATAACACGTATATTTGAAGAATATTTAATGCTGTGTTCAGGATTATAGAGTTTATATTGTGTTTTAGTTGGTTTTGTATTGTGAAACTGAAATATATAAAATATATTTAAAGTATATTCAGTGCTCTATTAAGAATTCTAGTGTATATTTGTGTTTATGTTGGTTTTTATATTGTGCAAGTGAAGTCAGTGGTTCTGAATGTAATTCTCTATGTTGTTTGCCGTGGCAGTGGTGGTGATGTGGTCGGTGGACTGCCTGCAGCTCGATAGCATGGCTTCGACCAGGAGGCCCAGGGTCACGAAGTACAGCAAAACCACGCTGGCGCCTGGTGGTTCCACAGTAAGTATGATAGTGCTACCAAAATTAAAGATAGAGAAATATGAAAGATATTAATATATTTGTTTGTCATCTATCCGTTTTGCACTGGAGAACGTCCATCCTTATTATAACTTTTTCTAAATTTGTTGGTCCTGTTATCCACTTTCCACTGGAGGAAGTTTGAAGTTCGGACTCTTAATTCTTCTGAATAATTTCGTTGTGGTTCCAAATATAGTTTATCTTTCTCCTGGGACCAACTTGGCCTTCGCTAGTTTGGTTTATTGGCGATCCAGAGGTGGAATTGTGTAAAGCAATCGTAATCATTTGACAGTTCATAACGTACGATAAAGTCCGTCAACAAAGCGTTTGATAGAATAATCGTACGTTATCCCAACTAATATTATAAATGCGAAAGTAACTCTGTCTGTCTGTCTGTCTGTCTGTTACGCTTTCCCGCTTAAACCTCGCAACCGATTTTGATGAAATTTGGCATAGAGATAGTTTGAGTCCCGGGAAAGAACATAGGATAGTTTTTATCCCGGTTTTTGAAACAGGGACGCGCGCGATAAAGTTTTTCTGTGACAGACAAAATTCCACGCGGGCGAAGCCGCGGGCGGAAAGCTAGTGCTATCATATGATAACGATTGCGTTACACAATTCCACCTCTGATCTGGATCCATACATATCCTCCATTTGATTCTGGCAAATTAATTAGAGAGTGTCATGCTCTTACAGTAACTAAATGACATACTGATGATGATGTTGATGACTATACTGACCTTGAAAATATGTCGGCCGTTTGGTGTAGTGGTTCGAAACGGACTACTATTCCGGAGGTAGCGGGTTCGATTCCCGTACAGTACAAACATTTGTGTGCATGAACATATTTGTTTGTATTGGACTGGGTGTTTTCTATGTATAATAAGTATGTATTTACAAAAAAAAAAGTATTTAAGTATGTTTATATCCGTTGTCTAGTACCCATAGTACAAGCTTTGCTTAGTTTGGGACTAGAAGCGCAGTATAAAATGTCTAAGGATATTTATTTATTTATTTATAAAAAAAAAAAAAAAAATATGTTTTTTTTTCCAGGAGCCAGCAACAGAGAGGAGCCTCATGACAGCCACATACCGACTCCAGGACCAAGGGGGGGACACGTGTATCCTGCTCACTGTGGACGCACTGGTCGACATATCTTACATGACAAAACTCAACGAACGCGCTGTGAGTATAGAAAATTCTTATTTTTCTCCGAAGATATCAGTAATTCTGCTGCAGCTAAAATGCTGTATGTATCTCGTAGATTTTGATTTTTTGTGGACTGTCCACACGAGATAGGACAGGACAGGCTATGGAGCTCGCTAATTCAATCTCAACGGAGAGTCCCGTTTTGATTGCTAAAAGTAACTAGATACAGTGGGACATAGAACCACCTCCTTTTTTGAAGTCGATTAAAAAAATGATGTCAATTGACTAAAGTAGTCTTCTAGCCTATTTAGGAAGAAAGACTGAAGTATGAACTAAACGGCTCTAGTGTCAGATACTACGAGGCCGAGCTTCTATAGGAATCTGTCACACTGAATTAGACCGTATGCATTACGTATTCTGTGAGATAGCTTACTGTCTCCTTAACTTGATAAGCTTCATGGTATGCAAATTTACAAAATTATAACGCAAACATTGTTTCATCAGAAGGTTGTTTAACCTTTGCGTACTTTAATTCAAAAGCCAGAGTGCCGCCATTTCAGTTTTATGCATAATTAATTAATTTTCGTAGCTTTGGAGCGTAAAAGGTAACTCTGGTTTGATAAATACGCGTGGAATGGAAGGGAGTGTGATATTTTGTGACTGTTTTAAGAAAATAAACAGATTTAAGCTTCAATATTAATTTGGGATTGATTAAAAAATACATTTTGGATTGCCGCACTTGGGAACCAGATTCTCTATAAAGACTGAAATGGATATTCTCACTAAGTTTTATAAGCAGGTAAATCTGCTTCGCGAAGCGATCACAAAATGTAACTCATCATCATCATCAACCCTTTACAGTCCACTGCTGGACTATGAGCCTCCTCCATTTTCAACCGACTTCAAAAAAGGAGGTTCTCAATTCGACCCGTATGTTTTTTTTTTCTATGTTTGTTACGCGATAACTCCGCCAATTATGAACCGATTTGAACAAATCTTTTTTCGGCGTATAGGTAATACATCAAGGGTGGTCCCATTTAAATTTAATAATAGNTCTGTCTAGGGGGGAAAACCAATCTATGATTATACATGCTTAGCGGCATACAAACCGAATCTTCCAAGTACGTAGGACGTAGGTAGTGTTCAAGGTTTATACATCGCTCTGTACTGCCTAGGCTTTAGACTCTAGGGACTGGACGATTTTTGTGATGGTTCTTATAACCAACTAATTAAAAACCTTAATTTTACAGGATGCTAACACGTTCGTGCCTAACAACGCGAACGTGGCCGGCGCGTGCAAGGAGGCTGATGCGGAGACCCTGGTGCTTTCCTTCAAGGAGTTCGCGCTGGAGTGGGCTTTCGCGAAGGTATGTAAATACATTGGAACCTTACCAAAAGGGTTCTCTACGCCGAAACTACACGCCTTAGCAAATGGAAGTTTTGGTCTACACTCGTGAGCTGACAAGACGGGTTAATTCCTTTTCCGTGGATGTCGTAAAAGATGACTAAGGTACAAAATATGCGAACCTAGTGTAGGGAGTTTGGGAATCAGCCATTTGCCTATTACTAAATTAATTAAGAGAGTCGTTTTCCTGCATTGGAGACAAAATGATCTATGATTATTAATATGTAGTTTATATATTGCTGTTGTCTTCAGTGCCTGACTTTGTCACCTATAAAATATTAGCTTTTAGCATGTAACCAATTTTATTTAGAATATTATTGATGTAACCTTTTTGCTGCTGTAAATAAATTACAAATATTAAGCGACTGCATACCCTAATTCCAGACACCAGGCGGCGAGCGCTGGTACGTGGAAAGCATCAGGCTGACATACAACTCCAGCGCCAGGATCTTAGAGCACGCAGCGAAGCAGGGCAGGAAGGTGACCCTCAGCACCGATGTGAGATCCTTGCTGTTCCCCACTCCGGTCGGCAAGTCCTTCTACTGTCCTGAGGAGACGGTCATAGACCTGATGGAAGGAGATGCAAGGTTAGTTCTTACCAAGCTTTGGACTGCTGAAACTTAGTAACACGTACGAATTCTGGAGGCCACTGGTACTATAACATACTCCCAAAGTCTCAACTTTTTTTTAATGCAGAACTAAGCAGGTATTTCACCGCACCTGATGTTAAGTGAGATGCTGTCTAGGATATAATGATTCATATGACTTCTGGGGTCGTTAGGTTTTTAGTGGGTAGGCCCCTCCATTTTAGCAGGTAGAGCCCTAGATAACGCACTAGCCTGCACCCTTTCTAGGGAGCAATTCATTTTTCTGTCATGAAAAAACTTAATCGTGTAAATCTTCTTCTGTTTTTTGGAAGACACAAAGTTAGTCGTGCAAGCTTTAACATGGTTATGAATATCTGAATATTCTTATAGGTAAATATAATAAATTAATGAATGGATGATAATGAATTAATAAAAAAATTACCTTTTACAGTGCAACCACAGCTCACCGGGCAAAGCTGTACCTCCGCCAGATGAGACTCCAGGCATTTATGTACAAACACGACGGGGAGTTTGGCCCGCCCTGGCACTGTTCGGACTCTGCCCGGGCAAGGTCAGAAACCGCTCCAGTGGCAGTTGGAGCTGCTCTAGCGATCGCAACTGCCGGCACCCTCGTTGGATACGCGATCTGGCGCTATCTCAAGGTAAAGAAGGTTCAATATGATACAATGGAGTGAGCCGGTTAATACGCGTTCTGAACTTTGCATTTTTATATTTTGTTGTTTTTTTTATTTATCGTAATCCTGTGTTACTTTTTGAATATTTTTTTAAGCTACAAGGTCAAGTTTATTGTCGTATTTTATTGAAATAAAAGTTATTGTGGTTGTTTTAGTTTTTATTTGATGTTCAGAACGCAATTATTGTTAAAAATCTAGTGAGATCTCAAAATATCAAAGTTTATTGCCAATGTCGATAGGATCATAGTGAGGTAGACCAACTTGTTGTTACAAACCAATGCATAATTAATACAAGTGAGATTCGCGTTAAAATATTGGTTACATAAATGATACAATGTTATATTTATTTTATAACTATGAGAAAAGAGTCATTATTACAATGTTTAAACAAAAGATAGGAGAATTATGAAATGGAATAGAATACTGCAGTTATTATTTATTTCGGGTAAAGTTAGTACGCTCTGCGCGCTTCGGTAGTCAAAGCTGACTTTAGATTAACATACCAGTTTTTCCTTTTATAGGCGAAAGTAAAAAAAATCCTGCGCAGAATGAGAAAAGCGAGGAAAACAGACCTATTAATATTTTAAATGTTAAAACAGAATCACAGGGCAAGCGGTAAGTCGACACTTTAATAAACTATGAATATTCTTACTGCACTTTTCCCAAAATTCCTTACACATTTTTATTTGGAATTATATCCTAACCTACTTTTTTTGATTACATTAAAATAAGCGTACTTTACCCGGTAAAAGCCTTCAATAAATCTGAAATATAAGAAAGTTTATCTAATTATTATAATGTAAGAGAAAATGAATAAGTACATCACTGTTAGAAAGTGCTCTAAAAGAAAAAATGTGCGGGCACGGGGAAACTAATGTGTAATTGTTTAAAATAATGTTGTTGACGTTTGATTACTATGTAAAAAATGTATTTAATCCCATATAACCCCAAGTACCCCATAGGTTAGATATTTTGTATTTTCTCTTGGAATTGTATTAAGAAAATTGGCTTACAGTTACTGAAATAGATGTCATTGGGATAGGTAAAGTTTGTGGTTATGTTTCTATGTAAGTGTAGGGTATTATTGTCGGGTTATGTTGTGCTGAGGTCCCTTTAATAAGTAGCATAATAAATAAGTTTATTAAACAACAATAACACAATATGTTTTGAGTGAAATTACGCATTATAGTCGTCCCCATAGTTGGATCGGTCGTTGATTATTATAAAATAGGTAGAGTTGCAATACTTGTAATGTGTGCAATTTATCATTANGTTAAAGGTTAAGGATTTGTATAAATAAAAATTATTCAAACATTTTTTACAAACAGACAGAAGCATTTTTACATTCGATTTTAAGCAATAGTGATATTAAACTGGCCTCTTAATTTTTAATTACAGAATAGGAATTTTGACACGGAATTAATGTCTAACTCGTCACAGAGAAAATCATGTGGAGATTCGTCACACTTCATATACATCTTAATCGTGACAAAAATATTATGCGTAGGTATTCACGGTTATGACGAATTTACTTTCAATGTATAAAAATTATAATAAAGTGGGACTAATCGACTTTGTGTCTAATTCAAATTGTTCTTATGTTTCCAAATCTACAGATTTTTTATTTATAAAACTTATTAAAGCGACCGAAGCATTTCTATAATTATACATATCAGATGATAATAAATATAATTTATAGATTAATGAATATTATATTATTTGAGATCGTTTGCGGTGTAGCGGACATTATCGGAATACGTGTATAAGCAATAATACGTTCTATCGATGCAGTTGTAAGAGTTATGCCAATGTAGGTATATGAAAAGGACTCGGCGAACAAAGCAAGCATTGACCAACATACTTTTACAGTTTCCATACGCACATTTTCCCAATAAGTTTTGAACACTAATTACTTTTACAAAAGGTTTAAAATCGATTGCGGAAATTCGACATTTTGTGGTAGGTTGATGTGCTGTTGACGTTTGCTTGCTTGTTATCTCTGATGCGACATAGACTATAGTTTTTGGAAACTTTCTACAAATCTATATATATAAAAATGAAACCCGTTTCGCGTTGTCACGGCATCACGTGTGAACGGCTGAACCGATTTCGATAATTCTTTTTTTTTAATGTTTGTGGAAGTCCAAGGATGGTTCTTACGGAAAAAAATATTAAGAAAATCTCTACGCTAAGGCGGTACGAAGTTCGCCGGGTCAGCTAGTATGGGATAATTAACCCGGAATATAGGGGGAAAATACCAGGAGGTTTAGAAAATACAATACTTTTCACGCATAAAACAACACTTTACTTTTCACACATAATGGAGTATAATATAAAATGTTATTTAAAATTGGTGTAATTATAGCACTTTATCAGTGTGCGTGTGTTATACATATAATATTTTATGAAGCGTTTTCAGCATTGTTTAAGTGTCAATTCTTGCTCGGGCGTTTCGAGTCCTTTTTTATACATGTGCGCATGCTAACTTGATGTTGTATAGTGCGCAAAACTTGGTTCAACTAGTGTTGGCGTAGTTTAAGTGTATATGAATATTTTGATACATATAAGAGATGTACTTTCGCATAGCGGTCTACTTTACTGTGTCTTTCTTATTTGCTGGATTCTATTCTTTTTTAATTATATTTAAGCAATAGAGACCTTTATTGAATGAAATACTGCTACAGCGGTGATGTCAATTAGTGAACAAAAAAATTAGGCCAACTTTATTTTTGTGATATAATTACTTTTTCAAAACAACACGTACGAAATTAATACATATGTTTCAAAATAGAGCTGGCGTATTTTTATCCATCAGTGTTAAATTACACTGCTTAACTTTGTATTTTAAAATAAACAGAAAAAGTTACCTAAGGCTCAAAAAAAAAAACAATTTTATTATACCTACAACTGACATCGTGAACGCTTGTGAAATTCCATAATAATATGTTTTATGTACTTATTATAATGATATATTTAGCATTATAAATGCAAAAAAGAAGTAACCGCTGAAATTCCTTACCTTTTTCGATCTACCTCCTCTGGCTTCCAAAATGTATATGTAGCATATTTTTGTATATTTCTCATGTACGATCGCCCGCAAATTCTTGCCAATAAATGACAACTTTCCAGAATCGATATTGAATCTTAGAGATATAAAAGTAAAGTATAAAATCGATTGTAGTCATTGTCATTTTACGGTCGGTTCTTCTGCTGGTGGTTGTACGTTACTCCAACTCAATAGGTAACGAAAATGTAGCAGATAGAGAAATAAAATACAGGGTGTAAGGTACAGTTTGATAAAAACTTTAATAAAGTGTGGACTTGTATAAGTTTTTGTCAACTTGTCTCTTACGCCTTGTATGATGATAATATTTTTATTGGAATATATAAATTATCTATTTTAATGACACTAGTACCCAAGTTTTGCTAGTTAAGATGCTGTGTGTTATCGCTTCAAAAAGTCCAGTAGTGGTGGGTTTCTATGAATGAGCTATAAAGAAACATAGTATTTTTCCCATTATACAAGCAACTACATAATAATTATTATTATTATCATTTAAGAGATAGTAAAAGGGGATTGTTGTTAGATAGATGGGCTAATTTATCGCTCTGTTCAAGACAATCTCTCAAATATATATATTTATCAAATATATTTTTGAGTTTTTTTCAATGATAAAATCGATCCAGCTCATTCACATTAGAACACCACTACTTGCTCCTTTATTTATGTACTAATACTCATCAATTACTAATTAATGAACATATCGTTTAATTAAGTTATGCGTGAAATGCGTTTTGTGATCATTATTAGTGTAAGTTTGTATCTTATTTAAATGAGGTTAGAGTTGGATTTAGGTTAAGTTAGTATAGAGTCCTTTACTGGCTTTCAGCTGTAAATAGTTAGCTTTGTTTTAGCCCGTTTGTACTTACTTTCTGTGTTTTTTGACGTTTGATGATTAGGAAAAGTTTATCATTATCTTCTTTGTAATAGAAAAAAAAGTTGAGGGTACACCCATATCTCTAAGCTTATATTTTTTGTTTTAATATGGTATTTAATTTTAGCAATCAAAACTACTTACTCTCCTTCAAGTGGATTGGTTGCTGGAATTTTCTTCTTTATTTTGAAAGCCAATATTTATGTCTTTTTATAGTCGGTGAAAAAAAAAAACAAATGAAAAAAAGACACCCAATAGTATTTTTTTAAATGATGCCTACTAATAATATTGTGTATTTTTTAATCAATTAATTCAGGCAGCAATATTTACGTCAAAAAATACAGAAGACACTAGGGTTTGCTACATTTGTCCAAAATGTTTTCTTATGTAAAAGATAATTTTCCTTTGTATTAATATAGGGTGATCACTTCTAAGGTTTTTGAGAACTTACGCATATCCAGTGACTGCCAGCGACTTTTCCCGTGTTAATATTCTATTTTTAATCTTTAAAATTAATCCTCTACTTTTCAAAGGTTTAAATTAATTAAAAAATATTATTCATATCAAAATAAAATTAAGTGAAACAAGCTTGCTAAAAACGTTCAGCATTAAATGAAATATGTCTTTCTGACTTTAAACATTTGTTTTCAAAAATAAATAGTCAGGTATTTTTTTATGTATTTTCCAAAAGCTGGACAAAAAGCAACCCTACGGTTTCTCACTCTGACTCAAGCTTGTTTTATGTATTGTATATGTACTTTTCGACATATTTATCATACGATAACATAATGGCACTCTTACTGTAAATAACTAAATGTAAGCCACTTTTCAAATTTTACATATTTTTGCACTATTGTTTCCATTTCCAAATTCTATCTCTAATATAATGATAATATCGTTTTAAAGACTATGATATTTCAGATACTTTTTCTACTAGTTGAGATTATATTCTATTTTCCTATATTTTGTATGAATCTCTTGTAGTTTCTTTCCTGAATAGGTTTTTAGCAATTATGTACTCATACACTTGGTGCATACGTATTAAATAATGTACTAATATTATTATATGCCATACGATTTGTCTTCCAGATTGATCTTAATACAATAGCGTAAAGTATTGTAGCTTATTATTATACATAATTATGGATATAACTAAAGGTGGTGATGTTATGGTGTTTTGTAGGTTAACGTTTAATGTTTAGTCAGGTTTGTTAATATGTCAACTTAAAATATTCACACAATCATTTAAAAATCTATTTGTCTTACTATTGAATCTTGGGTAGAAGCAAGGTAAAAATATCGAAAAATAATTTAGGAGTGTTTCTTAATGAGAATAGAGCTACCTACAGTTAACGTTACAGCTTTGGACTTTTTAAAAGCTTGATGTGATTTTCAATTACAAACTTTATTAAAATAACAAGGAAAAAATAATAATTATGTAATAACATTATTTGATTTCCAATGGAAAAATTTGTGAGTTCATTAAGAATGAAATATTATTATGAAAATAAGTTGACGTATCAGTGAATCTGTCATAATTAGTAGATAGTTTCTCTGAAATATGTAATTGATGTTTGTGTATTTAAACTATATTATACAATAACGTCCCAGATATAGCCCTGTTACAACTATATAATTTGTAATTATACTTATACAATAACACCAATCGATGGGAAAAAACATTATAATGATCACCACCGAGTAGCATAAGAGACATATCTCAGATTATTGTAATTTAGTGCGTTCATTTATTGAATTGTCTTTATGAATAAATGACGTCAAAATCAATATTGAATTTTTATTGCCACCCTGTATACAGTTTTTTTATTTTAACACACTTATTTGTTGTGAGATAGATGTCAATCTATGAAGAAATTCGTCGTAAACAATTAGGTAAATAAAACGAGAAAAAAGAGTAATAAAAGTGTGACGAATCGACATTGTAGGAAATCGACAATAACCCCTTAAAAATTACCTGAAATCAAGGCAAATCTATCAACCAAGAGCTATAATATCACCTATTATATAAAACCAGGTATATTCCGCAGAATATGCTTGCATCTGAGCTAACTACGTCCAATTTGTAACTAGTTAATTAGCTCGTAATTTTGGCGTAGCAATTTATTCATTGTATGGGTAGGGCACAAACACAGCGTGTGACGTCCACCCATAAGGTGAAACGACGACATCATAAAGGTAGCAGGAAGGAGCTGGACGCAGGCCGCTACCAACCGGGCAACATGGAAAGCATTGGGGGAGGCCTACGTTCAGAAATGGACGTCCTATGGCTGAGATGATGATGATGATGAATTTATTCATTATTAATTTATTTAAAGATCACAGATAACTAAGTTATTAGCAATACTAGCTTCAACCAAGAGCTATAATAACCCCTATTACATAAAACAAGGAATATTCCGCGGCATATGCTTACATGAGCTAACTACGTCCAATTTGTAACCAGAGCTTCGCTCGTAATTCGGCGCAGCAATTTGAAGGGTTGGCAAATGAATTTAATTGACTCCCCTGGGTGTCCGCTGATATATTGGGATGTTAAATTGTTAGTTTGATGACTGGGTGATTACGCGAAATAATAGATCGTACAGATTGGTGTTTAGAATAAATAAATACCTAAATAAATGTGACAAGCAAATAAATAAATAAGTAAAGTTTGTTATCATCTCACCACGAAGAATGTGAAAGTATGAATTCTTGGAGTATGAATTTTTAGCATTCTCTAAAATTAAAAAGTGATAGTGAATAATCTTTATTGCATAAATAGGGTTGTCCGTTGTACTAATGACGGACTTAATGCCAATAGGCATTGTCTACAATTCAAACATTTGTTATGTAGAAAAATAAATTGATATCATTATAATCATAATATACCTATGTCCGTAGTCGTATACCTACTAGTATTACTCAAAAGAACTTCCAAAATATTTTGAGATATTTAATTAGGTATTACATTACGCCCATTGCATATTACAAGTAATTATGCATTTAAGGTTTTTAAAACTCAGTTTATTATACTTAACTTTTAAAATATCTATTACCTGTGTTACAAGTTTTAAAAAGAGACGTTACAGCAGATCAATCCG